TAAGTTTAAATTCATATTAGATACAATTCATATTAGGTAACTTAAATTAAACTTAAATTCATATATAACTTAAATATATAAAAATATATTATTATAAATATATTAAATATATAAAAATATAACTTAAATTCATATTAGGTACTCGCTCTGCGAGGGAAAACTTTCTGATTTTTTTTGTTTTGTTTATTAGTGAAATTTAGCGTTACGCAATTTATGGACGATCTTCAAGTTTTATGGCATATTTAAGGCTGATATTTTGTTGGTTGAGAACATCAAGTAACTTTTTAGTTTGCTCGTTTAATTCAATTTTTTAACCAAATATGACTTTAGAAATAATCTCATTCATCAACATTGTTTGCATAAAATTTTTGGAAAATCTTTATATATCATTTTGCAGAGTTTTTTTTCTTTGGAGCTAAATAATCTTTAAAAATTTAGATCTTTCTCTAAGTTTGAGTTTTCTAATTTTTAAAAATAAACTGAAATAAGTTATTTTTTCAATCGGTAATATTTTCGAATTCTTTTGATTTCAATGCTCTTTCATAAATGTTTCCTAAATGTAATATAATTTTTTTATAGCTGGTGATTAAAAAGCTAATACAAACTATGATAGCGAGGTTACAATTTGCTAAAACATGAACAAAATACCATAGCGATGTCAAAAACACAGTTATTATTATTATCACTTTTCATTTCGTTAAAAAACACATGTTTTTTAAAATTTTTTTTAATTGCTTCTAGAAATTAAACTTTTGCATTATATTTATATATTTTCAACTTAAATGCTTATTAATTAAAAACCAAAAAAAAGAAGAGAAAATTTTTTCTACTTTAATCCAGTCCGCAAATATTAATGGATTGAATCATGTTACTACCAAAGTTTAAAAAATGGACGACTCAAGGCGACGAGGCGTGCGCTTTTTGCAAGGTTTTTTAAACCTTGGTTATAATAGTCAAGGTTTAAAAAAGCGCACGCATCGTCGCCTTTAGGAGGTGCTTTTTTAAACCTTGGTTACTACAGAGGTAGCAAGTTTTTTATTTGATACAAATTTTATGCAGCATATCGACTTTTTACACGTAAAAAAATATTCCGAATTCCTCTGTAGTAAGTTACTTCAATTCGTTTTTACGGCTGTGAACTGTATTAAGAACCGATTTAAATATTTTTCGTAAAATCTTTGTTATTTATTGTTTTAAAAAACAAAATGATATAATAATTGAACATGCTTTAAGTTTCAATAAAAAAAACTATTGGTTTTTACAACTCTTTATCACCGGTGAACTAAATTAATACGAAAAAGAAGATAAAAGCTCCGGTTTTCTAAAAATTCGATTTTTTTTTTAATTGAAGGTGGTAGTAATTAGAAAAAAAATTTGTATTTAACTTTTGTTAACCGATGTTGTTTTTTTTCTCAAATTGTAAATATACTATTAGAAAACTAAAAAAATGAATTTTTTTTTTAAGTTTTTATTTATTAAATTATTAAAGGGGGCAAAGGGTGACGAAGATTTTTCAGCAACCGTTCATAATTTATGATTGAAATTTTGACTGGTGATATATTATATGTGTCATTGTGTGGTGGACTAAAACATTTAAGTTAGGTCCAAAACTCGATAAAATATTAGCATTTTTGTAAATTAAAAAGGTTAAAAATTAAAAAAAAAATACTAAACGAAAGAAGCAGTAAAGATTATTCTAATGTATGTTGTAAATACTAATACAATATTTTTTATTCTGCTTCATTTTTTCATTTTCAGGGCCAAATTTCAAATCAATATGATAATTAGTTTTGAGAATATCTCTGCCAGTCCAAAAAACATGATTTTGAGAAAGATGCAAGTAAAAAAAAAAAGAAACAATGTTCAAAAATCTTCACTTTTTTACAATACACTAAGTAATGTTTTATTTTGATCACAAAAACTATTTTGTATTTTTAATAATATTTTTTTTCTCTTTATTTTATGGTTATTTTATGCTTTTCTGCTTTCGAGATTTGTTTGACAAGTCTCAAAAGCAGAAAATATAATACAAAGCTGGTGGTAATCTTTTACCCAATTCACGAAATACGACAACATTAGGGTTTATATAAAGTGGTCAGACACACGTTTAACTAGATCATTTTGTTTTGCATTAGAGTTCTTTTTAGCAATAGTAATAGGAGATAAATAAATAAAAAGTTTCTCATTAACAGCCATTGCAAAAAGTTTATAGTCCAATACCTAGGCTTACTTTTTTAGATGAAAAAAGAAGAATCAAATTTTAAATTTACAAAATCTTCACATTCTAAACATTTAAGAAGCATAACTATGTTTTACGGTAAAATAAATCTCATAATAAAGTTAAAATCTTTATTTATACTTAAAAAATCCTGAACAAATTCTTTGTTCGATAACTTATTAAAGGAGGATAAACTTGGAATATTTTCAATTGAACTTTAGTCTGAAAGTATAGCAGTGGTTTCTTTAAAAATGTAAACCCTTTTATTCACTGTTTTCATGAAACTTTGATTATACATTTGGTAAAGCTTTTTTTTTTTTTTTTAAAGATATTTTTCTATTTGATCCATCTACAGCACTTTTATTTAAACAAGACATTAAAAAAACTAAGGTATAGAGTCACAAATAACCAGTGCCGGATCAAGGAGGAGGGGAGGCGGCGGAGACTATAGCCCCGGGCTCCTAAAAATTTTAGAGGGCCTATTTTTTTTTAATGTCATTTTTAGGCTCTGGCCCATAAAAAGGCCTCCAAAAACAAAAATAGCCCCGGGCCCCAAGAAGTCTAAATCCGCCACTGCAAATAACCTTGACAAGAACATAAAGTAGTACTAATAGCTGTCTTGTACACATTGGACGCGCATTAATCAACTCAATAAAAAAGAAGCAATAGGTGAATAACAAAACTTTGTTTTATACAACTACTATAAATGATCCGATGGCGATCACAAATAATGATATACCGAATATGTATTATAACTTATATTTTTAAGATCTTAACCGTTTTTACATTAATTATATCACTTATATTCTTTATATTTTTGTATCTGAAAAACAACAACAAAACTCTATTTATACAAAAATTTCGTTCAATAACAAAAAAACACTATTGTCAAATGGTCGCCACATAATTGTTATTTAGTTCGTTATAGCCATATTGGCGCTATTTACTGGTTATATCGATTGTGGTATCGGAATATTGTTTTTCTTTTATGCTAATTTAATTTTCTTTCAATCAATAAAGGTGTTTTTATTGCATTTTGTAGTATAATTTCATTGCAAAAATGCGCAACAACCAGGGTTACCATCTGGTGTTTTTTTGAAATTTTTGTTTTGGTTTATTTTAGAAAATCTGGCTTAAATCTGGTTTATTTTAAAGTCTTTGGTCTTTTTTTGTTTGTTCTGGTATGTTTTTCAAAATCTGGTTTAATTCTGGTTTATTTAATAATAAATCAATTTTTTTTCATGAAAAAGTAAATTTGATGGGAAGAAAGATTTCCATTTTTTTTATTTTATAGAAGAACAATCAAGTTTAAGATAAATGAAAGAAATGCTTACGTTAAAATCTTAAAACGTTAAAAACTTTTACTTGTAATGTCATTCAAATGTTGTTTTTATCCCTTAATTGCCAAAAATGTTAGAAAACTCTTAAAAATTCAAAATGACATTTTTTGAGAAAAATCTGCCTGTATTGAATATTGTTTCCCAAGTTGAAAAGGCCATTTCAAGTCTACAATTATATCTTAAGGATGCAAAAGGTAGAGAAATTGAAAATCATTACAGAAATCGTCATTAATCATAAATTAATTAACATTACATCATTAGAGCGAGTCTAAAAACTTTTAAGAAAAATGAGTTTCTAAAAACACCGCTGAATTCTAAACTGCTTCGTAAACCCATTTAGATGTTTCCGGAGACCTAGACCTCTGCAATATAGATGTTTACTGCCTTGGCTGTTTATGTGTTCCGTTTCTAACTACTTTGTTGAGTCTTCTCACAGCTCATCTGCATAAAAATCAGACTAAGAAAATATCAAATTAAGTCTTGCATGCAGTCATTTGGGTCAAATTATATTTAATAAAGCGAAAGATTTTTTACCAGGACTTTGAAATAATTGAGTCAATTATCGCAGATGTTGGAAAAGAAATATATATCCATATGCAAGCAAAATAATATATATATATTTTACAGGTTGATAGTGTTGGATTTAGTATAGGTGTTTGGGAGTGAACTAATTTACCCACACCACTTTGAAGGCTGGTCTGGCACCCAAATTAAACATTCACTAAGTCGTTCTTCTCCTCCTCCCTTAAATTTTAGTATTCAAGGATGAATTTTTGGATAAAAAAGCATTTTTTTCAAAATATAAATTATAAACAAGGCTTTGAAACAAAAAATTATGATTTTTTTCTTTTTTTTTTGGCCTGGTTTATTTTTGTTTCATTTTTGGCTTGTGCCCGAAAAAAAACCTGGCAACCCTGGTAACAACGGAAAAATCAAAGCGTTGCTATGGATAAAAAATGATACTGAATCATTTAAACCAAAGATTAGATGTAGATACCAAAGTTTTTTTTGCAACCCAAGAAAAAATTTGGAATCTACTATAAATTTATTGATATAACAATAATTTTTGAAAAAAATGATTTTTTCAATTTTAATTACTGTACAATTTTAATTACCTCACTGTACTAAAGGGATTAAGGTTTGCAAAAATGTTCCTAAATAAAAATGTTTCATTTAGAAAAACATTTTGTGGACTGATGAATTTAAGTTTAACTGCTTTCAGTCTGATGCAAAAGTATGTGTTAGGCGTCCTATGAAGCAAGAAAGCAACCCGTAGAATACTCTAAAAGCAGTAATTACGGTGGGAGCAATATTAAGGTTTGAGGAGCTACATCTTGGAGTGGTATGTTTTAGAACGGCCACCATCAAGTCCCGATCTGAATCCGATCAAGAATTTACAGATCAATAATGGGCTGGCTTTACGAGATAAAAAAATCTCAAAATTAAATACAACATTTATTTTTATAGAAATTTTATACAATAGAACCACAAAAATACGATGTTGCTTCAGAATCTTTAAGTTAATAATTTTATGTAAAAGTTCATTGTAGGAAATGTAACTTTACGCAACGGTTGTTAGGAAGTCTATGAAACAAACAAAAAATTAAAGAAGATAGTTAAAATCAAAACGTTTACATAACTGGAATCACCAAAAAAAAAAAAAATGTTCCAATTTTAATTTTAATAAGTTTCAGCAAAAAAAAAAAAAAAAAAAAAAGATTAATGTAAGTTTATTTGTGAAGTGATTGTGTATTTACGTGAGTTTATTTGTGACGTGATGTGAATTTACGTGATTGACGTAAGTGTATTTCAAACACTTCAGCATATCACAAACATGTGAAACTATAGCCCGTTCTCCATTTAGAACTTTTTGCGCTTTAGAGAAGCGGAAAAGTTCTTTGAGCATGCGCAAACAGTTTTTTTAAACCCGTTCTCCAATCAGAACTTTTTGCGCATGATCAAAGAACTTTTCCGCTCCTCTAAAGCGCAAAAAGTTCTGAATGGAGAACGGGCTTAACCTCAAGATTTGCATCTGTTAAACTAAATAACTTTAAACTTTTATAGCATAGTTTTACAACTTTATTCTTATTATGGGATAAAAAAAAAAAAATTATTTAGTTATAAGACTAAAAGTATTTTGGTTATAAATAAAATTAGAATTTCAAAATGCAAATTTATTTTTTTTAAATTTAATGAATTAAATACGGTGAAATGTTATAAATAAACATTTTTGTTATCAAATTGTTAACAGATAATAAGGTAGACAATAAAATGCACATGCAACACTAAACTCAGGGGATAAACACAATAAATTCAAACATCAACAGTTTTGATTTTAAGAACCATAAGCGCAACAAAATAATATTTTGTAATGTCTCAATATCAACATATTTTCTGTCAAGAGGTATGCATTAGGTGAGCACAAGAGATTTATAAAACTAAAACCTGTTGAACTTCAACTTTATCTTCTACTTTTTCACACTGAAATAAACGTTCCTTAAATTTTATTTTTGTTTTATAACTTCTAGATATAAAATACTAGAAATTTTAAAAAGGACATTATACAAATTTAATTGCATACAAGCTTTTATATATATATATATATATATATATATATATATATATATATATATATATATATATATATATATATATATATATATATATATATATATATATATATATATACAGTGGTTTTCATAAATTTAGACGCACTCATATTTGAGAATAATAATTTTTAGTTTTTCAACGATAAAACAATGACGAAAAAAGATTTTAGTTTAGTTTTTTTTCTATTTATTAGATAAATACATACAGAATACAAAATTTAAAAAAGTTTACAAAAAAAATGAAATACTAAGTAATAATTAGGTACAACTACATGGTATTAAAAAAATTAGACAAAAAAAAATATTCATAAATTTAGACGCACGATACATTAGAAGGCGTAACTTATGAACCAATCAATATTTTGTGTATCCGCCTTTTGCTTTAATACAACTAAGAACTCTTCTAGACATAGACTCAACAAAATTTTTGCACATCGCTTCTGGGACCCCATACTAGTTCTCCTTAAGTAATTCCTTCAGCTAAGTAAGTGTGGAAATTTGAACCTTTGCTAATTCACGGTCAATCCAAGCCCAAATGTTTTTAATCGGGTTTAAATCAGGTGAGTATGGAGGCCACGGTATTGTCATGATACTATTATCGTTGAACCACTCCTTTGCATAGTATGCAGTATGTGCAGTAGCGCCATCTTGTTGAAGTTTCCATGGTTTATCATTAAGCATAAGCAGGTCAATTGATGGAATTAAGTTGTTTTACAGTACTTCTACGTATATTCTGGAGTTGATTCTTCCGGTGTATGTTTGGCACATACCAACACCTTTGTAATTGAAGCATGACCAGATTCCTATTGAACTTCCTCCACTTTGTACAGTTGGTCTAATGTACCTGGCATAGTACTTTTCATGAGCCATTCTTTTGACTGTTATGTTAGATTTGCGATTAATAAGCTCAAAGTTATTCTCATCACTCCACATAATGTTTTCCTATTGTTCTATTGTCCAATACCTTCTTTCATGACACCATTTTAGTCTCCTTTGTTTATCATATGGACGCAGAAGCGGTTTCTTCAAAGCAGTGTAGACTTCAATCTTGTATTTGACAAGTATTCAGCGGACTGTGCTTTGAGAAATAGATGTATTTCGCGTTGTATTGAATTCAGTGGTTGAATCTCTGTAACTAATTCTTGCATTAGCTCTGACAGCTCTAAAATGAACACTATCCTCCTTTCTGGTGGTTGACAAGGGTCTACCTTTCCTCGTTTTTTCGCTGGTACCACCAGTGTGAAGAAAGTTTTGTTTCGTTGTCCGAACGCGTTTCTCAGAAACTCCAATTAACTTGGCGATTTTTTTATTACTTTTGGTTCCTTCTTTGATTTGCGCATTAATTTGCCATCTTTCACCTTGAGTGATACGTCTTTTGCCCATTTTTCGCGTCTTTTTAGTGCGAAACTAACTTAACTTTTGTTTATTTATTAAATAATGATTAACTAATTCCAGGTAAGTCATATTTATATAAGGTTTTTTGACAGAATCAATTACTTTAGGCCTATTAATGAGAAATATAGGGAAAAAACTACTTATTAACTATCAATTAACAAGATATAAGACTTTTTTGATTGTGCGTCTAAATTTATGAACAAAATAAAATCAAGCTTATCAATTAACTTTTTTTTGTTAATCGGTATAGAATGAGTAATAAACATCCTGTAAAAAAAATTAAGGTACTCTTTAATAGAGTTTCACTTCCTCTTGTAAATTATATATCAAACATAGCGGTAGTACTTTTATTTTAATTTAATTTTGAGTATTTTCTTACATATATGAAAAAAAAAATGAATGCGTCTAAATTTATGAAAGCTACTGTATATATATACACACACACATATACAGCCCTCGGAATTAGGCTCGGCCTCTTTATTGCCAAATGCCGACCACTGTGTCGGCAAAAAATCGACGACCTTTATATATATATATATATATATATATATATATATATATATATATATATATATATATATATATATATATATATATATATATATATATATATATATATATATATATATATATATATATATATATATATTTATATATATACACACACACACACGCACGCACACACGGTGATACAATGAAGTTTGGACGAAGAAAAAGTTGTTCAAATAAATACTTTTTGTGGTTAATTAAAAAATAAAAGAGGCATTTATAATTTTTTTCGTTTATTAGGGAAACTGCCAACCAGTTAAACTTAAAAAAAAATCAATTAGCAGGTATTATAAAATAATAAAAGTAATTAAGTAAAACACACACATACAAAAGGGACAAATTTGGACGATCCAAGATGAATGATAGACCAAGTGCCCCAATAATGTTGGGGCACTTGGTTTATTCAACCAAGTGCCCCAACACTTCAAACAATACATGCAACAATTAGATATTATTTTGTTGCATGTTCTTTATTTTTTGTTTAACTTCAATTAGTTTTTTAGGCATGCTGTTCACCAAATATAGCATATTAATAGTGGAATAAAAAATAGCTTATTGATAGTGGAATAGCTTACCATGATGCTTTTAAAGACTCACAAATATCTTTTTTGGCTCTAAGGCTTTCGTTTTTCTACCTCGTCTTTTACAATTTTCTATAAATTTTTTTATTGGATTTAAATCTGTCACTTGTTCTGGTTGATGAAGCAAGCTTATGGAGAAGACCAGCATGCCAAACTTTGTCGAAAGCTTTAGATATGTCGAGAGCAATAGCCCTAGCCTCACCGCCTCCATCTAATGCACGATAAAATCTTTCAGTTACAGCAGTTAGCAAGTCGGCCGTAGAGCGAGAGGATCAAAAACTGTATTGATTGTCTGACAGTAGTTTATTTGACTCAAGATGAGATGTGAGGAATTTGTTGATCAAAGACTCAAAGATCTTGCTAATAACAGAAAGAAGACTGATCGGACGATAATTGGAGGGGTCAGAATTTTATCCAAAGTTTTTGAATATTGGAACCAAGACTGTGACAGGAATGTTGTCTGGACCACAAGCTGTAGACGAGTTTAATTGAGATATGACTTTAGCAACAGAAGCCGGAGTGATTTGAATGTCTAACAATGGGTCAACCTGTTTGACTGGAATGGAAGGAAGAGAATGTCCATAAGATTTAAAAGTGGAATTAGAAGAAAAGTTCTTTGCAAATAGTTCTGCCTTATCCTTGGGAGAGGTAATAAGATCAGTCCCATGAATGAGAGATGGAATGTTAGATCTACCCTTGTTAATAATGCTGTTGAAGATTTTCCAAATGAAATGAAAAAGCCTGTAATTTAAACAATTTTAATTGGTATTTTTAAAGTTAAATGGAGTATGTTGTGATTTTAATGTGCATCAATAATTTTGGCAGTGAAGTATGTTGTGATTTTAATGTGCATCAATAATTTGTCAATAATTAGATTTGCTAATTTTTGACTAAAGTCACATGTTGCATATTTTTATTATTATAACGTTTTGTATAACAGCCAAAGTTGACTTCTTTTTTCGTGATGAACAATATTACTTTCGATCGACCCGTAGCATACTTGCTTGCTACTCTGCCGTCAAAGATTTACAAGACCATGGAAGAATAAACAGCACCTGAACTGCTTGAGGACGTTTTGTACGAAGAATTGGTGATGAAACTGGAAATGTTGGAAATTAGAAAATGATTGTTAATCTCACGGTTTGAATTTGGGAAACTTATCGTGGCAATGAAGAATTGATACAAACGTTTGCGCATTGAGTAATCCAAGCAGCTCGTAAATGCAAGTTCATGCCTTCAGAGAGAGAAAGCCGACTTTGTGATCAATTCATCATTGAGATCAATGATCATGCTGTTCTGCGTGCCATTTTTCGGGGAGAAGATGCATTGAACTTTGACGATTGTATCAAGACAGCATCCATGATTGTACAAACTAGATTAGATGCGGCATGTTTATCTGTAAACGAAGAAATAAATGCAAGTTATTGAACAACTGGGACTATAATGTCAAATGATATACAAAGAAAAAAAAAGCGATTTTTCAACTGCCAATCATTGAATCACTTTGCACGTGAGTGTACCTCCTTATGCAAGAAATGCATGCATAAACATGCTGCGAAGGACTGCTACAAATAACTTGGTAATAAACGGAAGAAACGCTATAGTGCTTGTGCATACTCAGGCTTGGTCGGGAAGCGGGAGCAATCGCTCTCGAATACTGACCACGGAAATTATATTTAGTTGCGAAAAACTGGCCAGGTTTTATAGTCGTTTTGAGAATATTTAAGTTTATGTACGAAACAAAAAATTTTTGTTTTACGGACATTCATGGAAACATAAACAACTTGAATGTTCCAAAATATCTGGGTGCGAAAGAATAAAAAGAATATTCGCGAACACTAAAAACCCGCCAAATTAACAAACAAACTAATTCTATTGGTTCAAAAAATACACTGACTAAGCGAAATAAAGTTCTAGAGTATTCTGTTGAAATGTTTTAGAAATTGTATTATTCACGATTTGTTACGTTTTGAGATTTCTAGCATAAATTGCTTTAAGAATATATATTATTTGTTTACAAAAATAAATGTTTTAAACATATATTTATTAAATTGTCAAAATTTTAAAAGTTTATTATAAATTATAGATTTTATTAGTATATTCTTATTTTTTATTTAAAAAGTATGTATTATTTATGTAAATGTAATTGTGTGTATCTGTTTTTTATTGTAATGTATCTTTTAAAGCAATTTTTATGATTTAAACAAAGACTTACAAAAATATTTGCGTTTTCAATGAAGTTATAATCGTTCAAATTAATAAAATTAATCATGTAACAAACATATAAGAAGTTTCTGGTTACTAAACACAAACAATGCACACGAAGTAACTTGCGGATGAACAAGCA